CGTAACAAACTGAGGTGATAATCATGTTCTACGGGTCAAAATACCTCTGAGGACAACTTTCCAGCGAATTTGGGGATCCGAGATGTTCTGGCGCCTTTTGGCGCCGGCGCTTCTGACGCGAGCGCCAGGCGTTCTAGCGGTAAACAAATGTGATATTCGTGTTCTACGGGTCGAATTACCCCGAAGGCAAGTTTCTGGCCAAATTCACAGTCAATGACCAATTTCGATAAAAATCCGGCTCAGTTCTCGAGGAGTGGGGCAGTAAAGGGTAAATAGTGCCGGGAAGTTGTAGCTGGATGCTAAAATTGGCTTGTGGTGGAATGCACACAATATTGATGGCTATTCCTTGACTAAAAAACGATTCGCCACAAATGCATCTAGCTTATGGCGTGATTCAAGCACAAATAAATAAATAAATAACTGAACAGCATGGAAATCCAATTTGCTGAGACACAAAAGACTTGTATGACTAGAGGACATTTTGTTGAAAATAGTAGCAAGGTGACTAGCTTCAGCTAGGAGCAAATAAAATTGTTCTTGGGAACTGAGAAAATAATTCGAAATGCCTTGTGGCTACACTACGTACCTGTCCACTTTCGACATCCCAAATGGCACACGTTGAATCGCCGCTGCCAGTTAGTAGTAAGTTATCTGAGCGAAGAAACATGCAACAGCTCATATAGCTCGTATGAGTTGCTACACTACGTTTCTTTTGCAGGATATCGTCTTCGAAAGACAACGGAAAAACACTGCATTTGTTATCTAATCCTCTGAAAACGGTGCATTGAAGTAGGAAGAAAATCATATGAAGAACACTGATGTCGTGAAAGCTCAAATACATGGATGGAACATCTGAACCAACCCGCAGGCTATCAACTGGCTGCTCGGAGAATAGGCGCACGCCATCACCCACGTCGTTGGCATCGTCAACGCATGTTCCTTATTCGTTGTGAAGCCATCCCATACAATAACTTTGCCGTCCTGAAAAGAATTAAGTTGCAGAGCTGAGCATGTTATTTTAACAAAGCTTACAGGGCCTAGCGAAGACTTCACTGCATCATACAATTCATCTACTTTTTAACACATTGACGACCGAGTGACGCGGGTGCGCGTCACGTTTATATGACCCTTTTCATGGTCCCGAACTATCCCTGCACTTTATTGGATTAGGAAAACTATATATTCTTCAGCAATGAAATCATCAAGGGATATAGACCGTCTGTGAGAAGAAAATTCAAAAAAGATGCCGAAGTGCACGCGAACGGCTGTGGTTAAGGTACTGAATGATGTGCCCATGACATTTTCAAAAATGAAAACATTGATGAGTATCTGGGAAAACATCCAACCTGTGACGAGCTAACTATATGTCTCTTATCGAGGGACCAATCCATACATAGCACTTTACCGGCATGACCTTTCAAAATTCGTCTTTGCTTGATACCTAGATTTGGCAGTGGATCCAGACGTTCTGCCGCCTGTTGGACTGAAAATGGAAGAAATTGGCAAATATCTGGTAGTACAGCTGGTAAGAAGCGGACGCAAATGACCAATTCTCTTACTCGGAATATCATTGAGTTTCTGACGTTCTTGATCGAGTTTCTTTCGCAACTCTTCGGCTTCTTTAGCCAGAACCTCTATTTGATCTCCTTGCCTAAATAGATCAACTGATTTGAATGAAACGTAGTATGGGTCTCCAGGAAAGAAAGGGAGAAAGGGGGGGGGGTAGTGCGGGTCCAGTTGCTAATCCAGTTGTTCACAGAGAAAAGAAGCTCCGGTGTGGGTGCAAAAGCGGTAGCGAAATAGGTCACGCACTTCTAGATTTCTACAGACGACAGCTACTGTAGCATTGTATGCTCCCTTTGCTGGATGAGACCCCGTAACATTCTCCAACCAGATAATTTAATTTCACGCTTTTCACTCATTCCTTTATGCCGGGAGCAAAAAGTAAGCAGGCTGTTCTAATGAAATTGCTAATGTAGCAAAGTCGCAGAAAAGATAAGCAGTAAGCAGAAGCGAGGAAAATTTCCACTGAATACTGTGACGGAAAAAAATTTCACTCAGTTTTATGACCAGATCTCAAAGGAGGAGAGGGAATGCTAGATGCGTAAGCTTCCCATTTTCTCAAGAATTCGTCCCCCCTATAAGATTTAGTTCTGGTGGTTCCGTTGATAACAATACTGATAACATAGTAATATACTCAAGAAAAAAATACCTGGCGGCTGCATCACCCGCAGAAGCTATTGGTGCTGCATTCTCAGGCATTTTCGTGTCTTTGGACGTCGATGGTTTGTCTTCACTGCTCATCCGAAAACGTTCTCCTCAACTCAACTCATCCCAGCTTTTCTGAAAAAGAGAGCCATCGATCATGAGAATAGACCATGATTATTAAAAGAATCGGACATCAAAAGTTTGCGTCTATCGAATAGAGAGCACGATTCAACACAGATTCAAAGTACAGATATACAGATAAAGTTCGATAGTAAAGAACAAAGACACGACAAGATTCATGAGAGTTTGCAGAACCACAAACTTCTGGCCACCCTGTTTTGAACCCAATCGACAATTGATGAAGAAGCGTTTTCGTTCGTTGGCTAGTGCTTCATTTTAAACTTGTCTTCGACTGTTCCGCTTCAGAATTTTTTTTTTCAAATTCTTTTTTTCGAATTTCTTCGCACTCAAGAATTTTTCAATCGTCTTTTTCAAGTATTTCTTGCAATCTCTGCTGTAATTACTTCGCTTATTGGTGTCGAAGCAAAAATAGTTAGTTTATGTCATAGTATTTCTTTGAATGAGAGCAGAGCTTTAACTGAACATCGGTCGCCAAGAAAAGGGAGGGCTATTTGACGGTGAGGTTAACTTTTTTTTTGCTCCTGCGCGAACATCCCCGTAGAAGAGTTCAATGTGGTCTGTTAGACTTCAACGGAATAGTTACTAAAAATTGCATCCGAAAGCAGTTTGAAAGTGCCTGATGAATTAATTGAAAACTTTAATAAATCTCGTTAGAAAGCCATGCGTAGCGTTAAGAAAGTACCTACCAGACCTTCCTACAAGCCGGATTTAACAGTCCGGTGAGTGACCGCTACCGTAATCCACGTTGGCACTGGAGCGCGCAGCTACACTACTGATGTGTACCCACACGTTTCAGCACCAACGTGAGAGGGTATAGCGCCTCGCTGGTGAGTGCACGCTATCCCCCTCCTAGGGTTCAACCTGCGTTGCGCAAAGAACGAGGGGGTCGTATTCAGCCGACCGAAAAGGGAGGGGGTCGTATCCACAGACGGGCTGCAAGACGGCTTGAAAAGTGCAGTGTCCGGGAGTGCACTTTCACCCTCTAAGTGTTCTCCAGGAGCTCTGCACGCTGTCGGAGAGTCAAACAGACATGAGCTCCATGGGAGCATTAAAGCATGCAGAGCACTATAAGTCTCACCATCAGCTTATTATCCTTAAGCGACGCTATCCGGACTGCGCTTTTGCTCCGCGGCATAGATCAAGAGTACAATAGACAATAGCCAAAAACTTTGTTACAGTGTAGTGCAAAAACATGGTCTGTCTTCGATGATGAAACATTCCTGAAATCCCGAGGAGAACAAAGTGTAGAGCAGTTCATGGGAAAGTGAAACAAGAGTGCCATATAACAGCACAATACAACTCAATCAGGATACTAACACCTTCTTCAGGAAAACAGAAGACTTTCAAATGCGAGTGCGAACTCTGCCCATAGGTGCAATAACGGACTGATCACGCGGAGCCGTTATTACTCGTATACCCGCAGGCGTTTTCCCGTAAAACGCCTCCTCTGTCAGCGGCCGTAAGCAGACAAACTTTCTGAAGAGAGTTTTGATGCTTTCAAATAAAATCTAAGCGAAACAAAGTGTAGCGAATTTGCTGAATTGAGTTCTAGAGACGCCGTAGGAAAATTGAGGCAGAAGAAAGAATTTCAGGAAATTTCACAGTTGTTATGAAGTACTCTTCGAGTGGATTCCAACAATCTTTACCGCTTCTCATCACATTAATTTTAAAGGAAGTTATGGGCCTTTGAAGACTGCATAGTCGCGGTCCAGGAAAATGGCTTGAAAAAAATCAAGGTGGAATAAACGGAACAACGGGACTATTTTTTGAGCGAGTGATTATTTCAAGAAGTTTTAGCACCTATTCGAAATAATCCTCTAGTTTCTAATTAGCCTTAGACATCTGCAAAATGTTGAGTATGAAGAAAGTTATTAACGTTTGAATGTCGAAAACTCGCGCCTTCTCAAAAATCGGACCCCAAACCACCCAAGAACGGAACAACGGGACTATTTTTTGAAAAAATGATCGCTGGAAAATTTTCAGGTGCTTGTTCGAAAGCTCTAATCTTCTAGTTTCTAATTAGCCTTAGACATTTGCAAAAAGTTGATTATGAAGAAAGTTATGAATGTTTGAATGTCAAAAACTCGCGTGTGCACAGAAAACGGAACAACGGGACGATTTTTTGAAATACTGAACATCCACAATTTCAAATACTCCTCAGGAAGAAAACTATTTATATTTTCAAAATTTTGGTGTCCGATTTCATGAAACAGCTTCTGAAAGAAAATATAACCTTCTGAATGGAGGGGTTTGGATTGCAATGTAATTGCTACAAGGTTTAGTTTTTCAGATTATAAGGTAAGGAAAGTTGAGAGATCGAAAAAATCCTGGTGGGTTTCTGAAAGTAGAAATCTTTACGATTAAAATGATGTATTGGTTTACGCAAAAATTTGGAAATTCCTTCTATTTAATGAATAAAACTTCATTTGCCTCGATTCCCTCCTCTGAGCGAGACAAAGCGCGCGGATTGACCACGGTCCACCACTTCTCCATGTTGGTGACTGCCATCATTGATGAGCATTGATGAGCATTAAATTATGTGAAAGACATGATAGTTAATATGGGGGGGGGGGTCGTACCGACCCCCGAAAGGAGGTTCTGCGCGCTTCGCGCGCTGGGCAAGGGAAGGTTAGCCCGCCGGGGTGCCGGCTAAACCACTTGCCGGCACATTCGACCAACTGCCATAGTCCTCCTATATACCAGCATGGACGCTCCGTACAAGAGCCAGGTTCTATCACGCCCATTCTGTCGCCGTAGAGTGCGCGGAAAAACGACAAAAGGGCACGTCGAATTCTAATCGATGACACGTGACGTTGCGCGCCAACCAGTCACGTGTTACGGTTGCGGTCACTCACCGGACTTTGTAATCTCACTATATGCTCTGCTGTCGCGGCTCGATAGTGCGCGATAGTGGTTGCCAGGAGCCTCACAAGTGAACTGGTGACCAGTGTGAACTTACGGACGAGATGCCTCGTGCACATCCATAACACGCAACAATGGATTATCGGAGAAGGGCCAATTCAATCACGCGGCGGGTTAGTGGAGGCGTGGAGCAAGTGACTTCAGAAAACCCGTCCGGACCTCCTCTCTACTTCATTTCAAAAGGAACAAAGAGAGGGTGTGTTCGTTCAAGCGCTTTCAAAAGGAGGATCGCTTTGGTATTTATTTCATTATCCAGAGTCAACCTCTGGAGTCCACATTTCATTATTTATCGCTGTTATAACACAATATTGATCTCGGGTTTTGCTGAAGGAGATTTCCATTATATACCAAAGTCGAAGAATAGGAACTCATCTAGAAAAGACACCCGACAGCCCAAGATTTGCGGACCGCTCGCGCTATCCCCGTAAGGATTGCGCATGAGACTCATGGCATTGAGGCGCGTATCTATCGCGCGGCACGCCGAATCAACTGCTTAACCAATTGCGCAGGTTTCTAGCCAATTAGCAGAAAGAGTGTTAGCGTTGCAGAGCGCAGCACGATGAGAGTCGTATCAATGCGGAAATCAGAAGGAAGAAAAGAAGGGGAAAGAGTATCATTTCCCGAGTTCTGGGCCGTTTCTCAGTTTTTCTTCATCCCAGCACCATTGACCTGAACCTTAAAGGCATGCCCCAGGATCAATTTGGTGTTGTTTTTGCACACGAATGCGAATGTATTGGTGCGAAATGGGCCGGCAGTAAAGAAAAAAGGAAAAGAATCCGTCGAAAACGCTTAGGTTAAGGGCTCACTCACCTTCCTAATCGGCTGTGCTAAGGAATGAGAGACTAAGCGCGGAGAGGAGAGTATGAGGCGAGAGAGCGCAACGAGAGCGCCAGACAACAGCCTGATAAAAGAAAAAATGCAGCTTCAGCAGCTTACTTTGCAAGGCCCTAGCGCTCTTATCGGGTGATTTCCGTGGAATGCCACATCTGTGATTGTCCCCTAGGGGTCTATCCTACAGACCGAAGGGAATCGTTCACACGACTTTTGCCTGGGTTGTGCCCTTAATTCTAGTGGGCTGCCCTTGAATCGTAAACTCCGCCTTCTAACCATAAGCCCCCATTACTTCTTGGAAACTTGCAAGTCCGTCGTGGTCAGTTTAGTTTTTTTTTTCCGCGCAGAAAATAACCAGCTAGTATTTCGAGTGGAGTACGGTAGCCTACTGTACCACGGCGTCTTATCAGTTTTATGGAGTTTTATGGTGTAGTGCTTTTTTTGACAGAATAACATAAGTGGCGTCGTTCTCGCTCGGCTGTAACGTCCATTTTGAATAATTTTCGAAATCTATACTGAAATGTAGCATTAGCAATCAAACGCATCGTTATCTTCTGAAG